TTTTATGGGTTATACTTTATAGAGTCTCCATAAACATTTATTGCCATGTAACATCTTATATCCCTTCATCTCAAGACTGTGCGTTCTAGTTCACTTTATATCTGATCCTGGGGGAGCCACAGAGTTCTGAGTGGTGTCCCTGGTGCTGGGTCCCTGGAAGAACCCTGCCACAGACAGGGGGTTCTAAATGCAACCCCCCAGTTCCAGAAGCAGAAGGAAGCTTGTTTGACGTGGACTGAGGACAAAAACCAACATCCGGGACAGAGCTGGTGCTTGAGCCCCCACCACCTCTGGACCATCTGTGAAAGGGTGAGCACTTCATCTGGAGAACTGTGACTCTTATTATGGGATGTCGGTTTCCTTGGTGATGTGGGACTGGGGCTGCAGTATACTTTTGCCAACACTAATTTTTGTGACTTTGACTTATAACATCACATCGCCATGAATCATGGTCTCTCCCTTCTGTCCTTTATTGCCTCAGCCCACTGACCCCCTCTCCACCCACACACACATGCACAAGGCCATAGCTACAGAGAATGAAAGTTACTTGTTCATTGATAGTTAACTCACTCTTTTAACTGACCATTGAGTGGTGGCCTACCAGTAGCTTTGCCTATGAGATTAAAACGTCCTCCTAAAGCTCAATAACAAGGCAGGCCCATATTTAGCAGCAATAACTAAAACACCCAATTGTACACCCAACCTGACTGAGCCCTTCCCCCTTGGAAGGCAGCCATACTGAGTGCCACGGGGAGGGTTCTAATTGTCCTGGGCTTCAGGCCTTGTGCAGTCAGTGGATGCCTTTCGACTGAGTCATCTTTGGTTCATTTCTTTAGGTAAAAGAGAAAGCCAACTTTCCAGGAGTTCATAAGAGACAGAAAACTAGGAGCCTAATGCCCAAAACCAACACCAACAGCATTTTCCACGGCAATGCCTTCCATCCACCACCCTCCCCCTTTTTAAACTTCAAACAGAAGTGGGTGATCACAGACATCCAGGCCGGAGACCATGGGGGTCAAACCCTGCCACTGTCCTTGGCTCTTTGGGCCCTCAGTACTCCCCATATGGAGGATGGCGAGGAGGACCCTCCAGCTGCTGATGAGAAGAAGGCTTTAGGTCTCTTCTTCTGCTCCAGGAAAAGATAGGCAAGCAGGTCTGGGAAACGGAGGGCTCTGTCGGGCTGGTGTAGGAATCCAAGGACGTGACCCAGGCACAGGGAAGGCCTTTCAGGGCCCTGCCCCATGGTACTGGCAGTCATTTCTCTGGTGAGGAGTCAGGAGGCCTTGCAAAGGACTCTCCAAACCGTGACCCTGCCTCTGAAACAAGCGATTTAACAGTGTCTGTACACAGGCCTGCTTCTCTGACACAAGTGCCAGTGTTCCAGCCCAGACTGCAGGGGGCCCTGACCAGAAAGCCTTTCCCAAAGACATTCCCTGGGCAGCCAAGGGCACATCAGGCCATGCCTGATGGGTTAACGCTGTTCCTTGCAGCTCAGGGGGTCATGGGGAGCTGGCGTTTTAAGCTCCTCCTGCGAAGGAGAGACAGAGGCGAGCGGGCAGGTCGCTGCTGGGGTTCGATGTGCACCATGCCCCTCGCCCCAACAGCCCCCATCGCTCACTGACATTTCATGGCTCGTCTCCAATCACAGGCTTGAGGATCAGACGGTTTACTGTGTAGCTGGAGGAAATAATTTGAGCAGCACAGACTGGATCTTCACAGAGAGAGAATCATTGCAAGGAGCCTCTGACTCTCTGCCAGAGCCCCAGGCTGGGTGTTTAGCTAAGGAACTTGGCCCATGTTGGGAATGGCTTATTTTTCTCAATCACTAAGTTCTTGCCTACCCGTTCACTCAAATCCTCAATGGGGTGCACAGACAAGAATCTCTCCATTCCTGCCCAGCTAGTGTCCCCACTAGCCCAGTGCTGTCTATGATCTTATTGGGCACCCACTGTGCACTGTGTCCTGTGCTGGCGAAGCACCCACTGTGTGCTGTGTCCTGTGCTGGTGAAGCACCCACTGTGTGCTGTGTCCTGTGCTGGTGAAGGCAGTAGCTGACATTGCATCTCCCTCTAGGATCGCATGTTCTCAAGGCAGACATGGACGAGAAGCACTTAGAATAACAAGTGTCCCCAGGCCGGGCATTCTCCAACCATCTGCTCACCTTCCAGCTTTGGCTAAATGTCTCCTCTCAGACTGCCCTCAAATCCTCGGAGTCCCCTCTCCCCGCATCAGCCACATGCCTCTCCCCTCACCGTTAGAGTTACACGGGCATCCTCGCAGCTCTTCAAACACGCCATCCTGCCTGGAGCCTGGGCCCATGCTGTTTTCTCCATCTGGAGCATTCGGCCCCTCCCCCCAGTCTCAAGGACACCCCTCAGAGAGGCCTGCCCTCACCAGCCCCTGCAAAGCAGGCCCAGCAGGCCCCTCTTGCTCTTGCTCTCAGCATTAAGCTCACTTCCTTTTCAACACATTTCAAAAACTGAAATCACATAGTTTCTTGTTTGGTGACTTATTTATTTGTGTCTCTCCCACCAGACTGTATAACCTCCAATGGCGTCTGTCTTGCTCCCCACTGCCTGCCCCCCGCCCACAGAGCAACCAGAAGTGTTCACTACACAGTGGCTGCCCAAACGAACGAGGGGCTTTCCTCTGCTGAGTGATAACGGAATAGAAAGGCGACAGGCTCGGGAGGGCCTTGTCAGTAACAGCAAAGGGCCTGGGCACAGGTCTGCACATTTTAAATGCAGAAGACGCATGAATGGGCTTATATGACAGAATGACACCTCCTCTTCCATCATGAGAAACGGACTTAGGGGGCAGGGGAAAGGGCAGACTGGAGACAAGGAGGCCTGTTCAGGAGGTGCTGATGAAACTGAAGTCCTCGCAACTCGGCGCAGTCCAGGGATCAGCAGCACAGGCATCACCTAGAGTCTGTTAGAGACGCAGGAGCTCGGGCCCCACGCCAGACCTGCTGCATTGTAATCTGTGTGTTAACAGCCTCACCAGCAGACTGTAGGCACACACCTAGAAGCTGGGCTTAGGGGGAAAGACAACGGTGCCGTGGCTGTCTGTGGGAATGGGGGGGACAGAGCTGATTCACCGGTGCCCCCATAAACCCAGTCACTGCCCCCTGCAGAGCCACTATTCCAGAACTGCTCAGGGAGTCAGAAGCAAGCTCTGCTAGTGCAAACTTTATCAGACTGTGATTCCATCAGGGGTCAGGGAGAGCAGGGGAAGGAGGAAGGGGGAGCACTGAGCAGAGCTGGCCGGGGCTGTTTAGCCAGGGTGGACCAGCTACGACCTTGGGCAGAGAAACTGAGTTCCCAGGGTAGGCTGGGAGGTAAGGATTACTGACTCTGGCCAGGAAGAAAAGCCGGTTTGTTCATCTGCACTCTGAGTTTCCCCAGCACCTGGCATAGAAGGGCTCAAATGATACGTGTTGAAAGTACAAGGAAACTAGTCCAGCAGGGACTGTGCGACTGAGGTTCTAAAGCAGATTATAAGGGTCCGGGGGTTTGGGGACTAGTAGACGTACCTCCAGTGGCTGCCTGCTTTGTGAGCTGCATTCCCTTTCAGTTAGAAAAAAAGTAGAAATCCGAGATGATAAAACTCCACTCTTAGGAAATGAAAATGTAGGACCCGTTCAACCCCAATCAGCAGGAGAGCACGGCACAGCATCAGAAGAGCCCGATCCAGCCCCTGAGGGCAGCGGGCAGGGGGTGCCCCCAGGCTGTGGACTCTCCCAAATGCAAGAACCCGGGTGGTGAGGGGGTCCCAGAGGCCAGAGGCTGCAGCTGCACATGCGGTGGGTCAGGGACGGGAGGGGATCCAACATAATGGCCTGAGTCCCTGAGCCCAAGACCCACAGGGCAGTGCTGTGGCCCGCAGTGACCAGAGCGTCTCCTACAGCAACTATCGTAGCCCTGGGCTCTGTTCTGCAAGCGAACCTCACGCAGGAGAACCAGAGGAGGGACAGAAGTGGGGGGCTGAGGCTGGAGGAGACGGGAGGGTCGGAGCCAGACCCCTCAACCCTGCCTTTTCTCACAGAAAACTCCTGAGACACCCACACACCACCACCTTCCTGCCTAGCACCCTGCGGGGCACCAAGGGGGCACAGATGACTATCTGTGGGATACGAGAAGGAAGCCGCACACTCCAGTCCGTTCTGTGGTTTTCTTCTCTTTAATTCATTCTCCCGAGGGAACTCCGCATTCCCACACACAGATGACAACCTTGTCCCAGGAAGAGTGTTTGCAGCTCCAAGAATAAATGATCACTTCCTTCCTCCTTCTCTCACCCCAGCCTCCCTGCCTTTAACGCCTCCTGCTAGAGCCCAAATGAAACGTCCCTCCCCTCTGGAACTTTCCCTGTCCTTCCAGTAAGAAGAATTAGACCCACTGGGTACCTAGTGCCCTTTTCTATGAAACCATTTTCCTTCCACAGGTTTCAGGTAAGATGATCTGTCACCAGTCTCGCCCTCCCCACTACACTGTATGCCCCCAGGAGGCCCTGAGAAAGGAACGACCTCCCCGTAGCCCTGGGGGGCTGGTGCAGGGCTGGGAGCATTCCAGATGTGCAAGAGGCGCAGCTGAAGTGCGCTGGCCTCCCATTCCTGCTGGCACCACGTCATTGTTCAGGCGGCCTCCCGGGCCTCCCTCATGTCTTTGCTCCCGTCAGCTGAGCTGTAGGGCTCGCATCTCTGGAACAGCTGGCTCCACTACCTGCGCTGGGAAGCTCCCCTGGATCAACGCGGGCTCACACATCACTCTCAGAATCACCTTCTCCCCTTAGGCCCCGACCAGCCAACCAGCATGCAGGAGGTAACATCTTTATCTCCCTTGTCTCTTTGGCCAGAGAGTCTGCTCAAGGGGCAGCTCCTCGAGGACAAGGCCCAGAATCACACGGAGAGTCGCACAGCTGTGCCAGTTTGGGCACGGAGACTCGTCAGAACCAGCAGACACAGAGCGCTGTTGATGACAAAGAAGACAAAGGTGACTGACCTTGGATGTGTAGGTGTGGCCATCGGAGCCACAGACCATGGCCGACTGTGCCACAGGGCAGGGCTTGCACTTGACTAGATTCGAAGGTCCCACCCAGTGTTTGTGGGCCACATTCTCCTTCTTTGGCCTGCGGATGAGAAAAGAGAAGAGTTAACTAATGCTCCGGTCCCCATGGCCTCTCCTCCGGGCACCTGGACAAAGGCCAAATAAACGAAAGGGCTGGTCCAACAGCCAGCACTCCCACTGGTTCCAACTCTCAGTGGGGGCAGGAGACTCTGCTCCAAAGCCTAGGTGCAGCCCACCGGATGGACCAGGGAAGCAGCGTAGCCATTACAAATGTTGTAAACACCACTTACTGTCTGAAAAGACGGTCACAAAACATTGGAAAGACCCATGAAGGAAGAGTGTGGCTCCACCCACTCACCCAGCCCCCAGGGCAGGGTGGGGCACACCACAGGTGCCCAGAAATGACCTGCAAAGCCTCAGACTCCTCCAGGGCCACCAGCCACCTCGGAGCTGGATGACACACAGATGACTCAGCGACCATCTCCGACTGACACCCATCTCCAAACACAACCCAATGACTTCATCACAGCTGTGGCCAACGATCTCTGGATACCTTTGAAGTCAGGGGTGTCAGATTCATTTTCACCAGGGGCCACATCAACCTTGAGATTGCCTTCAAAGGGCTGAATGTAACTTCAGGATTGTATAAATGCAACTACTGCTTAACTGTTAAGTGAGAGTTCGGCACTGCCGCCAGGTGGAAACAAAGTGTGGGCCAGATAAAACAAGGTGGAGGGCCGGATTCGGCCTTGTGTTGGCCACCTGTGTCTTAAGCAACTTCGGTCCAGCTTCCAATTTGCCATTTGATGGAGGCTCTGAGGTGATGCCACTTCCAACTGCTAAAATAATCAGAATTCTGTGCTTCCATCCCAGCTCCAGCTTCCCCTGCTCCCCACCTTTGTCATCATGATAAACGGTGCTGTTAGGATGGCTTATGTCCATGGAAGGAACCCCACCCCTTATCACAAACGGCTGAAAGGCAGGCCTGTAGTCACTGCCACCCTTTCACTCTTGGTGGAAGCTGCTCTCCCAGGAACCCACTGGGAGTGGCTCCCACGGCTATGGGGCTGCATTCCGGGAGGAGGAGGAGTGTCTGTGGATGGCCCAGCAGTCAGGCGACGACCATGCCCTTGAGGGTTTCGCACTGGCAGTCCTGCATGGTTGTAACACTTGGGCTCTGGGGTCAGAAAGCACAAGTTCAAATCTCAGCTCTGCCAGTGTGCTCTTGGCAGGATTTTTAACCCTGTAAACCTCAGTTTACTCATCTGTAAAATGGGACAACAGAATCTACTTCAATAGGATGGTACAAAGATTAAATAAGCTGAGATGTGTAAAGTACCTGGTATTTGCCCATGTGCTGGGCAAATGGAAAGCAATAAAAATGGTAGCCGTTGTTATAACTATTATTTGTCTCAATAGAAAGGGTACAGAAGATGATATTACCATTGCCATAGAAATGGGACTTGATTCTAAGGCCCTAGGTTTGGGATGGCATTTAATTCCCCCAAAGGACTCACAAGGTCACAAGGAGGAAATCTTTTCTACTAGGTATGGGATGAAGACCTAGCTCCTCAGGAATTAGGGTTTGGTGTCTGAGGTAACCTACCCTCCTCCAACCAAGAAAAGCAACTGAGGAAGGGTGCACACCAACTTGTTCTTATACCACCTCAAAGCCACCCCCATGATCTGAGGGGAGAACTATGAAGAGGAAGATCTGTTAGGGGAACTACCTTTGAACTGGACTTCCAGGTGAATGACCACGTACCCACAGCACAATCCTTGGGACCACTGGGGATCCCAGGCTGGGCAGGCCACAGGTCCAAGCCTGTCTGACCAACGAACAGGAAAAGGAAGTCCTACAAGGGCCCTCGGAGATCACCTGGTCCAGCCTACTCACTTCACTGGTGGGGGAAACCGAGGCTCGAACTGGGAAGAGCCTTGCCCGGAACAGCCGGTGCCTAGGCCCATGATGACGGTCACACAGCTTCTGCATGTCCGGGGGTGAGCCTCTCCTCCTCAGCCCTGCCTACATCGCCAGCTGGAAAACTCTCTGGGGTCACCCACATGTGTGTCACTGGCGTCTGCTCTCCGAAGGCCCCCTGCTTCCACAGCAGCTGCCTCCTCCCTTGTCCTGGCCCCTTTGCCTGGAGTAAAAACAACTGTCATTTGCATTTCAAAATCACACAGGCACGAGGTTTCCCTTTACTGGTTGCCAAACACAATTTGGACCTCTGAGGACTACCGAAAAAGTAGTGGCTGAGGGGACCCCAGGCAGCAGCCAGGTAGGCTGCCGGCACAGGGTTAATCCTGGAGCGCACGATTCCCTAAGCACAACGGCACACGTTTGTCCCCATTCGCGCAGCAGACTGTCTGACACGGGTAATGAATCAGCAAACGCAGGCAGATGCTCTGCCGTCTAGCAGCCCCTCTCCTGGGTCAGTCGCTAGCTGCGTGCCCATGGCTGAAGCAATTCCTGTTACGAGTTCCCAGGATGGGGCTATAAAGTCCGAAGAGTGGGCAGCTTTGCCGGAGCAGACACAGATGTGTGCAACGATGCCCCAGAGGAAAGAAGCCGGAAGGAGGTTAGCCAAAGGCAGAGGAGGGAGAAGTGAACTCGGAGCCCACAGCTTGGAGGAAAAGATGGAACCAGCCATTAATCACCAGCTAATGACAGGTCACCCTTTGTCTCTGGACCTAAGGGGAGGCCCAGGGGTGAGGCTGGCCAGTGCTTCCTCGGGGGCCTGGTGCATCATGGGTATTCAATATACCCCTGCTGGCTGAGGGGGTGGGTCCCTGTGGGCTGACCCTGTCTGGTTACTCAGCAGTTAATCACCACATCACAGCTCATCAGAACAAGAAAATAACTTCAAACTAATCCAGCACAATGACTATTTATAAACGAGGAATCAAAGACACAGCTGGGGGTGACTGGCCCAGTGTCGCAGAGATCGGGCAAAGCTCCTTCCTTGATATTGGTCATACTGAGGTGCCCCTGGAAATGACTGTGCTCCTCTGGGGCTGGCGTCTGCGTTTCCATCGCCAGGGCCCCACTTCACACACAGAGCCCCCCTGAACCACCGTCCGGGCGCTTCCCCAGCAGAGCGGTGGCTCCCACACCCAATGTCGAGTGGTTGCGGGTCACACCCCGGAGGAATCGCTTCTGGCCCTCCTGCAATGTCTTGGGGACTAAGAGTACAGACGCCAGGTCACTCTGAATTTGCCTGATTTTAATAAAACACGCATGCCTGTTACACCGGCGTGTTCCTCACCTTGCTAGAATGCTAGCAGAGATGGCAACCAAACCTGCTGCCTCTGTCCAGAGGCCAAGTTCTGTGCAGTTATGTACAAGTACATGTGAGCCCACGGAGCACAGCTTCCCGGGTTCTTACATGTACATTCCAATCTCCACAACTCAGTGCAAACCATAAAAAATAACCAACCCAGTTGAGGCGAGGGACTAAGCTTTCTGACTCGAAGATATTTCACTTCTTGAGTCAATGAAGAGTGAAATCTGATAAAGGTATCTTGATGGGATCGCAATTCCCAGTGTCACAGACATTCATCAGTTGGGGTGACACAAGCAATTTAGTCTGGGAGGCAGGTTCCGCTGTCCTCCCCATCGGCCACTAAGCCCTCCCTCCACCCCTGCCAGGCTGGGCACACCGCCCACCCCACGGCAGCACTGCACAGAAAGTCCCAGCCCACGAGCACCCCAAGATGCAGAGAGGACAATCAGCATACCCCCAACATTTCTAACTCTCTTTGGCTCAGCTGCTTATTCTCAATCGTTTTTTGTTTTTTTTAAGTCTACCAAAATAGCCAGGATGTAAGGTTTTAAAGCAGAGCGATGGTTCGTAAGTACAAATCTGATGATGTGACTCCCACACTCTAAACCTCCCTCTTCTCCCCACCTTCTAGGGCACAGTCTGAACTCCTCGTTTTGGGTCTACCTCTACAGGGCCACCATCTGCTCTGCCTTCTTTTCCACACACACACACACCCCCTCACACTCCCATGCATGCACACATGCACACTGAACACCACCATTATGTACTTGCTCGAGCTGCCTTTGCTGTTTCCCAGAGCCACCAAAGGTCACTGCGCCTCTGTACCATCATGTGGGTTTTCCCACCTCTGACATATTTTCATTCCCACCCACATTTCTCCCCTCTGTCTTCCACTTCTCTCTGCCTGATAAGTCTTTACTCAAGGCCCAGCTCAAAACCCCCTCCTCCGGAAAGTCTGCCGGGGCCACTCCACAGGCAGTCAGGCTGCATTCCCATAACACCACGGTCCTCTGGTGGCCTCTGGGAAGGCTCCCAGACTAGTCTCCAAGCAAGCAACTTGATTCAAAGTGGCCAAATATTAAGGAGCTATTCTGATAGGATGTGGGGTACACACCCTGGGTTAAAGCCCTGAAGTCTGTCTTGAACGCATTCTTTTCCTATCCTCAGCACTTCCCTCCATTACTCAGTCGGGCTGATTCTATCTCCAGCCAGCCATATCCGCTACTCACATGTCTCTTCCATGTGCCATGCAAATTCAAGTCTGTATAACTTGGCACATGCTTTCTATCTGCATAGCAGACACCTATCCCTTGCTTAAGTTTCAAATCAATTGCCTTCCATGAAGTCTCTCCTGATCCCACGAGCCCTATCACAAGTAGACTTAACCATGACATTATTTGTTCAACAGTTCACATTGCTGAGACCCGACTGCAACATTCACTGCAGCATAAAGCAGTTCCTTTCATGTCCGTCCTCATCAGTATACTGTGCACTTCTCAAGGGTGGCGACTGGGTCTTATTCATGTTTGTGCTCCTGGTGCTTGGAAACAAGATTGACCCTCAAGACACATGGGTTTTGCTCAGAAAAATAAGTGAATTTATTCATTTGGGTCTTTAGAATTTTCTCCTTTTATTTCTGGAAATCATTAGCACTGACTAGAAGGCAAAAATAGCATGTTGTTTTAAGCAACAAGAATTCAACAGGCTCTTGTTTCCAGAAACCCTAATTCAGACTTCAAAAAACAACAACAATTAGTAAAAGTTGCTAAAGACA